ATTCTGGAAAGACGTGTAGGTGAGTTTAAATTTCCCTGCCCTCACTACCTGTGGAATTGGGAAGATTAAAAACTCTCCATTTCTTGAAGTAGAAAATACAGACAGGCACTCATTTTTCAGGTAATCAGCCTAAAATGAGTTACCGTATACAGCAAACCATATCAATGCCAAGATATCCAAAAAATTACACGCTGGTTCAGGTCTTGCAGTTACATGATCTACCTGAGTCCAATTTTTGCCAAGGATGTGTTATTACAGTAATCCTAAGAAGTTCAGAGGAAATTTCACATTGTATAAAATGCTTAGTCCTGTGTTGATGTTATCTGCAAGTTCTACCCTCATCAAATCTGAACTTTGTTCTACCTTCTAATGGCTTTGAAATTGCCTGAATAATAGGCACAGAAGGATACTTTACTTTTGCAGGGTGAGTATTTTTACAAGCCTGGCACCTTGGCTTAGGGTCATTATGGATTTACCAGATCCTGACTTTAAGGCTGGGAGATCTGCATCCAAAGAGGTCAGTTAACTTTCATGTCATACAGCCACCCACAGACAGGATCAGAACCTTCCTCTCCTGCCTCCTACACTTCTTTCAGTAAAGCCAGTTGGTATTACAGATGAAAGGCAGTAGCTGACTCAAAGCCTTCCTTCCTTCAAGAACATTTTTACTTTTGATAGGAACAGAACTCTAAGCCCTAGTTTGTAGCATTAAATGGTCAGTCATGGTCTGTGCAATGCTGATAACCAGGCTTCTATCAACAAGAGTGCCAAAAATCCTAGAGATTCCATAAGCTAAATCAAAGACAAATTCATCCAAGCCAACATGTGGATAAATTCTGTTCTCTATTAAGAAATAAAAAGAGAAATCATTTTCTAGGAAAAAAAAAAAGAGACATTATTCCACCTTTGATTCCAGGGTACAAACATGGCATTGTTTAGGTTATTTGCACTTAGAGAACTGAGTGTTTCTGAGAAAAATCAAAAGTCCTAAAAAGGCTCTTCCTAAAATTGGGATTGATACAGATGACATGATGAAGCATTTATTTTGTTATAGGGTAAGTTTTTGCCCATAATTTCCTTGAAGAAAGAATTTTATTTAGAGGAATCACAAAGCCTCTCAGCAGTTTAAAGTGATGTTACCAAAAACAATTTTTAAAATAGTCATGAGTATCTACAAACTTACATGGTGAAAATGGACTCCATTTTTTATCATGTCTTTTGATGCTTTCCAAGATTTGAATTACTTAGGACAAATGATAGTTCCCTGACTTGAAAAGACAAACAAGTCCTCCAGAGGTTAAATGATTTGTAGGATCAATGTCCTGCCACAGAAGATCAATGGGGGCTTTTTGGCCTTTTATCATGTAACAATACTTCCTTCATCTATAAATATATAAAGTTGGTAAACTTATTAGAATACCATGGTATACCAAAGCCAAGGATGCTCCAACCCCATGAGATAAATTACACAAGTTATTAGATGAAGAAAATGAAAGTATAATGGCATGTTGAATGTGTATTTTCTGTTAGATTCAGGGTTTGTTTAATCTCAAAACTGGGGTCAAAGTCAGGCATGCTGACACATGCCTATAATCCCAGCATCTAGGGAGGCTGAGGCAGGAAGATTGAAAGTTCTAGGTCACCTTGGCAACTTAGCAAGGCCTTCAACAACTTAATAAGACTGTCTCAAAATTAAAAAAAAAATTAAAAGGTCTAAGGATGTGGCTCAGTAGTAAAGTCCACCTGGGCTCACTTCTGAAGAAGAAGGAGAAGAAGCAGAAGGTAGAGGAGGAGGAAGAGAAGAAGAAGAAAGGTTTTACTAAAAGGGTTGCCAAATGGTCCATTGGCTCTAGCTCTCACCAAGCCATGGAACCTAAATAGTCATAAGATGAAGTCTGTAGGAGAAGAGATCCAACAGAACTCCTCATGGAGGTTAGGAGGCTTCTGAGAGCAGGAGCTGTACCTCACTCCCTGTCAAATGCTGCAACAGTGGAATTCCCAAACTCAGCAAGAGTGGCCAAAAAAACAGCCTGCAAGAGAGTGTTTGGGAAAACTTGACACAGTACCTTAGATTTTGAAGCCTTAAGTAGTAGAGCAAGGAGAGAAGGTAGTAGGGACTGTGTTTACCAGTAGAATGTGATGTGTCAAGGATGTGTGACTTTCCTATAAGCCAAAAAGAGGATAGTGTAGAGAGAGTAACCAGGCTTGAGCCCAGCCTAATGTGAGACCCTATCCAAGCAAGTCCAAGAAATCAGCCAGAGGACACATGGCCAATGTCAGCAAACAGTGCAAAGAACCCTCAGCACTTCTCATCAAATGTTACAACCCACCTGGGAAGGAGGGGGCACCCAGAAGCATTAAAGCAAAGGAATTTGTGCAAAAGCAAGGCAGGGTATTAAAAAAAGACCCCCACCCCCTCTTCCACTGTAGTCCCAAAGCCACAGGTTAATCTTGAGCTGGATGGGTAAAAGACAGAAATGTTTGAGTTGGGTGTGAGACTAAAAATTTTAATTGAATTAAACTGGACTTTTTTAATTCCTAAAGACAAGGAAAAAATGTGAGATCTAAATGAAATAATCTTCAACAGACAGAATAGAGATCAAACACATCTATTATTGAAAGTGGTAGATGAAGATACTAGTTATAATAAACTGGTTATAAAATCATCAGGTATCCTGCAGTATTTATATTTCTTTCATGAGAGCTTTTCCTGTTTGCTATACTGTAACATTTCTGGTACCATAAGAGATGAGAATTTTAGTGACTCAGATAGGAAGAGAAAAATTTTATTATAACACTGTCACTATCAATGTTCTTGGGTCACCTAGGGTGAGGGAGAGAAGCAGTGATCAGGTTGTGGGCCACAGAGCTTGAATTATGATCAATATGATTAATACCCTTATTATCTGATAGACATAAAAAGCTCATTGTACCTGACAGTCCTTTTAAGGTCACATGCAACATTGAAAAACAATGACCATATACCAAGCCACAGAGAAACTACTAACAAATTCTGAAGAGTTGACAACATGGAAAAACAACATTCTCTGACTATAACGAAATAAATTTAGAAATACATAAGAAAAAGTATAAACAAAAATAATCCCATTTACTTGAAATGTTAAAAACATGTTTATAAAAAACCCATAGGTCAAATAAAGAATAGACGTTCAGTTTCTGAGGTGGACTGTATGGACCTTGAAAGTCATCACTCTGTATGAAAAACAAGTAAAATGCCACAACTGAAAATTGACAATTATTCTTAGGACTGTCAGAGGAGGGAGGTTATAGGACAAATCACTGCCC